GATTACCTTTTATAACTTGTTATACAAAGGTACTGGGTTTAGAATCGAGTACTTTGGGTCCTATGTGACCTAGAGTTAGGGCATGAGTTAGCAGTTTGTTATATTGGGATTTGAGATGGGATTTGGGATTTGGATGGGATTTGAGATTTGGAATAAAGTTGGGATTTGGGATCAGGTTTGGGATTTGGGATCAGATTTAGAATTTGGGATTTGGGATAGGATTTGGGATTTGGGATTTGGGATTAGGATTTGTCTAGTTTTGCCTTATAAGTTTTTAAATATAGAATAGACAATCTTATTTTTCCAGATTTGTCTATAGCCAAATCTCAAATCTTATAGGTTTTGCCAGCAAGTATAGCGGCAATACCAACTTGGCTTGGCAGCTAACTAGATTAGGAGGATCTATCTCGTGAAATATCTGGCTAGAACTTGAAAGACTATATCTGGTAAATAGTCACGACAGGAACTGGGTTTGTATGAATATTAACAAGGGTCTAATTCAGATGAATCTGTGAAATGAGCACATGATCACTCTAGTAGGAAATACTTCTGAGATTAACTAGAGCTCTGCAGCTTATAATACATTGGGTATATGTATCCTGAGAGGACCTAAGCTATACAGAGAAATGGATCTGTGGGTAAACCAGCTAGCATAAGTAGTTGGTCATAGTGGTGATATTAGTTTGAGATGGAAAAAGGGTTAATGATCAGAGTGTTTAAATAGGTAACTCACAGGCAGGTTGCAGATATAGTAGCATAGTATAGAACCAACAGATAGTCGATCATCTGTATGGCAGACTACTTAAATTAGACAATGACTAAAGTTATACGTGTAGCTTGTTATATACTTATTATGTAACTATAAAACCTTAGGAGATTACTACTATGATAACTCCATAATAGCAAATTAATAAAATCCAATCGGCCAAGGAAGCAGCCTTAACTAACAAAAAAATTTAATATTATAATTTTAATAATACTAGTCTCAGATTATTATTTATTTTTTTTTTAAATTTCAACTCATAGGTTAAAATGAGGTTTTGTCTCTATCTTTATTGGATAAGATATAGTTAAAAGTTTATATAAAACTATTTGGTAATAAATTATATACAAGAATTAAAGCTCAGATAATGATAAAATAACTAAGACTAAAGTAATACTAAAGCTAAGCTAATTTAAAATTATCTGTGATCTAAACCTACTAGAATAGTTAAGATTTACTTAGATTTGATTAAAGAGAATAGAATTTGTAAAAAAGCTATATTTAATCTAATGTAATGGCTAAGCTAAAAGTTTTTGTATAGCAAGTTCAGTTAGTGAAGTTTGGTTATATTGAAAAGAAGAATTATAGAAGTTATGCAGTTCTTGAAAATTATAATTAAGTTATTCATTGTTTCTTCAGTTTGGTTAGTTATTTGAGTATGGTATGTAGATATTATGTTGTTATTTCTAGTTTGCATATTCTGAACAATAGAGTAGCCATATTTGTTTATAAATTTTTTAGTTAAGTTTAAAGAATAACTTAATAGTTAGCTATAAAGTAGTTTGAAGTGAGTTAGTATATGGTCAAATTATTTGAATAAGTATATGTAGTATAAGCTTTTTAAATAATATGTTTAGACTAATGATATTAAATGAATCTGTAAATAATTGAAGTGAAAGGTGATAAATAATAGAGTTTTGTAATATGTTGAGTTGAACTTGAGTAATTTCTAAGTTTGCAGCATTAAGAATTTCAATTACTAATTGTAAAGTAATTTCTTGTAGAATATTGTTATTATGATTTGTGATCTAGTGAAATTCCAAATCTATTTGGTTGCATTTAAAGCATTTGTTATTTGGTATAATATTTAAGTAGTATTTTTGTAGATGTGATAATGTAAGTAGTTCATTATATAGAAGTTTAATGCAAAAAATTTTAAGTTTACTAAACTTGAAATTAGTAAATTTGTGTGATCATTTGTTGTTGTTATTAAGATATAACCATGTTGAGTTCTAGTCAACTTGGTCATATAAGGTATGAAATTAGATGAGAAAATTTTGTAAAGAAAGTTAGTTAATGTTGTTAAACTTTCTGTTTTAAGTTTAGTTTCTGTTATTGAAACTATGTGGAATTGTTTTTTTTCACAGTATATTAGACTACTTGAAAATAAAACTTGTCACATGTGGACACTAAGGAGTAGATATAGAGTAGAAGAGGTTGTATATAAATTTGTGTGAAAGTTGAAATTCAAATCTTATTTACACTCATTCATAGTTAATAAAAGCGATGCATACATGAAATCACTTTTTTCTGAAGAGGAATTAACATCTTAGAAGTTGAAAATAGGCTAGACTTGAACATTCTCTTAAGGAATTATTAAAAAAATACACAGTTAATGATGTTGAAAACTTACGAAAAATTCTTTTTGAACCATTTATACCAAATAGATATAAATATGACTGAAAATTTCACTTTGATCTTGATTCGTTAACCGTGTTTACTGAGAAATGCTACCCTTATAGGAAGTAAATGAAAATAATCCTTTTGACTCTTTGAAATTAGAAGGTTGGTATGAGATGAATATTTGGAGTCACCTTATCGATCCTGCCTTCTACAATGTAAATATTAATTTAATTCATAGTGAAGAGATGAGTTTTGCATCGAGTGACAGAAAAAATGTTGAAAGAACGACAAATGATAGAAAGAAGGTTAGCTGAAAAGGAGATGTAATTTTAAGATTACATAAGGATTGCTTAGAATTAGGCACTATAGAGGCTGGACGCGAATGGAAGGAACAGAGTGAAACAAAATATATTACAGATTCATTAAAGATATGTAAAATGTTAAAAGACATGTTAAACCAGCTTGCAATTAAGTATAACATGAAAGAAGATTATGTGAGAAAATTATATGTAGTAGAAATGCTTCAGAGTATGAATAAAATGCAGGTCATCATAGCTGACCTTTCCAAGGGATATATCATCCGAATTCGAAGAAGAAAAGCTTGTGAAGTTTTAGCTCATTTAACAAAATCAAAACCTCTTATACTAATTTTAAAAGAAATATTTTACGCGAAAAATATCATATTGTGAACATTTGATATTATAAATCATAAATATGATATTGACATTGAAACCTTTCTCAATAATTCTGATAAAGAGGGATATCGCACACCTCGAAAGATTATATCTAACACATTTATAACCCCAACTACAGAGCGCACCAAAGATGTAGTTAATGGGAAAAATTGTAAGAAAGATTAACATGTACTTTGCTAGTTTTTTATATTACGATTTATCCATTATACCATCAGACAAATAACAATAGAAATAAACATATATAAAAATTCTATTGAAAAATGGTATACTTTGTTCTGGCAAATGCTATAGATCAGTAAAAATAAAATTGAACATGCAAAGTCACATATAATGGATTATTTGTTTATAGATCTAAGCTTTTGAATGCCTTATTAACGAACTATTTAATTTTAGTATCCTTTGAGGGAAGACAATCTCAACCTTTTCGTCATACCATACCTCAAGAAAGAAGATTCTATTATCTTAACACATACATCTTTTTTTTGCTAGTCACAGCTAGCAATATTTTGGAGTTTTTTTTTTAAATATCCTTATACCAAGCTGACATCATTGGTATTAGCTGAAATTCCAGTGCGATTTGCTAATACGGATGTAGTAACCAATTTCATTATAAACATTCCTGCTAATTTATAAAGGTTATGATACGATTCCCGAAAGTTATTTCCCCTACATGTCACTTACCCGACATCACACAGGGTAACAATTTGCTAAAAATATATACCTGCAACTAATCAAATACTAAACCTAACCCTATGTGATGTCGGGTAAGTGACTTGTAGAGGAAATAACTTTGGGGAATTGAGCGACAACC